TACATTTATTATCGGGCACCCTTTTCGGTGCATTATCGAACACAATGATGCATTATCAAAGACAATATAAAAGTTCTTTTTATGACAAATCAACATAGAAGGTTAGGTTTAATAATTTTTTTATTGTTTATTAATGATAGTCATCAATGTTGCCATCTCTATCGTTGTGTATTGAAAAATCATGAAGAAAAACAGCTACGTTGATTGCGGGCGGCCGGGGCCATTATTCCTCAGCAACAAGTTAGCAGCATGAACACGATCCAACCCAAGACTTCTCTCTATGTGTCTATATGAGAGAGAGAGAGAGAGAGAGAGAGATATGCTGTGGGACTCACCAATGAAGCAGCCTTACATTGTTTCTCTTTTGGAAGAGCTCCTGCCCCCACAGACATTTAGGTCCCACAAGGGTAGACGTGAGTGGTCGACATCAACCTTGAGATCCACGTCATCTCCCAACTTGTCAAGACTTTTACTGCTCTTCTTCACGCTGTGTTAGTCGTCCTTTCTTTTTCTCTTTCCTTGCCTGTTTCTTTGTTTTTAGGTTAACACGTACTTTCTTTATGCTAAAATTACCAAGGCTAGTTCACATTACGGGATCATACACCTGAAAAATACATATATGACCTTTTTATTTTATCACATAATTATGATCATTTATATTTAATGTGATAAAAATCATAGTTAATCGTTGAATTTTACTTCAATTTTAATTTGTTTTATGAACTTTCGGTTGTCTAAATTTAATCATTTAATTATCAATTTCATCTAGAATAAGTCTTTTCATTAATTTCTATTGTTAGATCAACTAAAAATTAACCCAAGTTGATAACATTATAACGTTGATTTAACAATAAAAATTGATAATAAGGATTAATAGTTTTTGTATGAATTAAGCATTTTTATCAATTTTTATTGTTAAATCAACTAGAGATTAATTCAATCTAATGCAATACAGTGTTAATCTAACGGTAAAAATAAATAGAAAGATTGATAGTTTTCATCCAAATTAAGGCTTTTCATTAATCTCTACTATTATATTAATTGAAAATTAACCCAATTTGATCTATTGCAATGTTGATCTAACGGTTGAAATAGACAGAAAGATTTATAGTTGAGGGATTGAAATAAAATTGATAATTAAAAAATTAAATTGAAATAATTGAAGATTCAGACACCAAATTAAAATCAAAATAAAGTTTAGGGACCAACTTTACTCTATTTAATGGATATAATAGAACCGATTAGTTTAGAATTTTAATAGAAAAAATGCAAAAAAAAAAATGATGATTAGAACATTGTTGATATATATTTTCCCTAAATTGTTCAAAAAAAATTGACTTTCATTTTTTTACACTATTTTCTCTTGCAAAAATATGAAAGTAAATATTTTTAACGAAAATATAATTTTAAAAATTACAAATACATATAATTAAACACACATTCAGGTAATTTTAGTCTTAAAATGATCATAAATATCCTGTGAGATTACAACAAAGTTAATAATACCTTTTTTTTGGCCATTTAGTTAATAATACTTTAGTGTTGAGGATCCAATAGTATATAAACAAACTTGGTAATTACCACATAAATTAATCAATGGAAGATGCTGTTAACTAATTTTTTTTTTTAAATTATTGTCCATAATTACTTAAAAACTTGCCAGAGCTAAGCAAGATAATAAGAGAGAATTTTTTTTATGAATTACTTGAAAAAAATAAGAGATAAATTTTTTTGTTTTCCTTACCTGCGATAAGTTGAATTGGTCGAATGTTTCAATTTCTTACGGCGAGGGCATAGACTCATAAATAGAGTGAGCCAAGATTTGTACTATCAAACACGTCAGTATTTGATGTGACCGGAATTGTTATATTTACGGCGACGTGACATCAAGCCGGCACATAATCACCGATGACAAAATCATTAATAATGTGAGTTGAGATTGTACACGACCTAAACTGCTGAACTACAGATCATCTTCCCCGTAATTAAGTTTGTCAATCGTGTTAAATTAGTTAAAATTTTATTAAAAAATATTTATTTATATCTAATTTTTTATTAATTCATATTTAATTGATCGTATTATATCGAATTCATTAATACCTAATTCATTTTCTGATTTATAAAACAAGTGACTTAATAAAAATTTAAACCCTCTAATTTGGACATGTTTGTGTCTCGTTAACAAATCAGATTATATTTTAACACTCCAACATATAATAACAATAAGTGACTAAAAAAAGATGAGATTGTATTCGTAAGGTAAGGTAAGGTGTATTCAACCAAGAAAGGGGAGGTGGTTTTGGCCTTCAGTGTGTCATCCTTATTAGTTGGAGACTTGGAGCTTGTAATAAGTTACGTCCTGTTGTCCAATAATACTAGTCAAGGCACTTCATTTCTTCAGCTTGGACATGTTGAAAAGTATACAAATATTATTCAAACTTTTTGACATGCTATTAAGCTAACTTGTTTCCATCGTTTTCCCGTTGTTACACTTTTTTTTTCTTTTCAAACTTCACCTCCTTGAATTTGATTACAAATCCTTCCGTATGGAGGGACATAAAAGTCAATTTAAAAAAGAAGTTTCCTACTTCTTATTTTGTACCTTCATTCGTTCATCATTGAAAAATGATACAATATTTTTTTATTGTATAATGATTACTTATATTTTAATTCAAGTAATATTATGTTTTATCAAAATTTTCATCCTAAATAATGCAGTACAATCTCTATCATTAAATATTAATGAAACATATGGTAAACATTGTGCCAAAATTGGATAAGGAATCTTAATCCATATAGCAATGTTGTTCCAATTAACTTATGTTTAAAGAAAAATTTACAGAAAAACCTTCTATGAAAAACCATTTTGACCAATGCTAGTAGTGATATGTTATTAATTCAGTAGAGGGTGGGGATGTCAGTGGACCAGAGTAGGGACGGGGAGTGTAGTCTTTATCACAGTACCTGCTTAAAAAAATTTCGTTTATTCTTAGTCTATCCTCGTTAACGGGTATAATTTTTATCTCTATCCTCGTCCCCACTTCTCCCGTACCCGCCTAAGCCCGAGTCCAACACATAAGCCTAAACTCAAGTCCAAATAGCATAATTCAAAATTTTAAATAAATCTAATATTTTAAATAATCCAACAACATTCTAATATAATCTAACACAACATAATGTAGATAACAAAATGTAAAAGACAAAACAATATACTATTTAAAGTGTTATTGTACCACAAAAAGAGAAACATAACTATTAGAGTAAATGGAAGAAAAGGAAAATAAAATTGAACTAAAAAAACGATAACACTACACTAGAAATTTCTTAGAAGAATTGTTGTTATTACAATTCATATTACAATCACAAAGTGTTACAAGATGAAAATATAAAATTTCACTAATTCAATAATTCTCTTTATTTCTTAGTTCACTATAGTAAAAAAACTCATCAATCTCTATTTATAATATTTTCTATCCACGATGAAATGCAAAATTATCTTACTCTCTCTTATTTGTTTTTAGAGTATAATCAATCCAAACTCCTAACAGTTTCAATCAGTGAGTACAAATAAAAAAAAATAATTAGAAAAAAAATTTGATAAAATTATCACATAGCGATTCCAGATGTTAGTTTGATTACCATATTTCTAGATTGATAGTTACAGTAAATATGTTTAGTTAAGGTTTGAGAGTATATATATATATAACGGGTAGTGGAGACGAAAAGAGGCGAGGGTAAGGGTAAGTTTATCTCCGTCTTCATTCCTGTACGAATTTATACTGGTATTCTCGTATACGTCCACCGTCTAATACGTATAGACTATCCTCAGTCCAAACGAGATGGATTTAACGAATACCTATTTTTTCCCGGTCTACTATCATCCCTAATATAGGAAGTGTTCACTTGTATGGCAGGGGGGAGATGACTCTCTTCCGATGTAAAATTGCCTTAAAAAATGGTCTTATTGACGAAGAGAGGTAAAAGCTATTGGAGCTCGATGTCGTCAGGTCAACCGAAATCGTTCGAGTGAAGGGCCGAAATCCCATAACGATTTTTACCCCTTACGACACTTATTACATGCAAAGTGAATATCTATATGTACTAGCTTTGGTTTAAGCTGTGAAAAGGATCCGAAGAGTTAAAATAGTGAGGATTAAACTACTAAATTTTATATAATGAGGATTAAAAAAAATAACACAAGAGCTATTAAAAAAATTAACAAAAGAGATAACAACTCAAAAATATAGTAAGCATCCTGAATTGTGGAAGAGCGGCCTCTTTGAATAATCATTCCAAAATTTCATTTAGGTTGTTAGACATTCTTTGTTGGCAAATACTTGTTGTGTTCCGAGGAATATGGGAACGTTACGGAAGCTTAAACAAATAGAAAACAGAGGGTAGAAAGGGAAATAAATAAATTTTCACGTAAAAACAAAAAATAAAAAAAAAAAACAGTAACCGGCCCTGGCCCCCCTCATTGTGCTGAGTCACCCGTTTGACCTTCAGTGTTAGGTCATCGAACAGGCCCGAGATTTGTCTACCTGAATTTTGTTGAAACGTAGTCCGTTTCCCACTCTCACAATACACGCGTGTATTTCACGATCAACCCCAGAAAATGTATTTTTCAAGATATTTTCCCTCACGCGCTTTGGTTAACCGCAGTCGTTTTATTTACAACAAAATTAACCGATTTTAAAACAAACCCAACAAAAACTAGAGAGAGAGAGAGAGAATTTTCTCTCTGCTCTTTCTCTTCCCTTCGACCATCATAAATAGGAGATGAGATTGTCTTCTTTTTAACTCTATCCCTAATCTCAAATTATTATGTTTGTTTCTTGGAGTGGAGAGAGAGAGTGAGTGAGTTTGTTATAATGCACAGAAAGATACAGAGAAATGGCAACCTTTCGTCTACGACGGACGGGCGGATCTGGTCAGCGCCGTTTGACCATGTTCACATAATACGACAAGTACAGGGGTATTCCGGTAAATGAAAAGACTCTCCCTGAGTAATTTATTTCTGTTCGGCTCTGACGTTGTTGTTGTTGGGTCTCTACCCCTCTTGATAAGCCCTCTCGTCGCTTCCCCCTTCTTTTATTTAAGGCCTCGCTTCTCTTTATCTCTAGACAGAGAAAAAGAGGAACACACACAAACACAAAATCAAATCTATTTTTATGTACACATACTGATAGATAGATAGATAGATAGATAGATAGACAGAGACAGAGACAGAGCAGGATGAGAACAAGGAGGGGGCTATGTTATCCCAAGGTGAACATGTGTTTGGAAAAGAAGATGGCTGTGAAGAGGATAGATTTCGCCGGAGAAAAACTGAATGCCAGGAAAAGGTCCAGGGTTTCGCCGGAGATAGTCACAGAGTGTGATTTGTTCGATTCGTTGCCTGATGATATTGTTGTTTGTATTCTCTGCAAACTCAGCTCCAACGCTGCCTGTCCTGCTGATTTAATCAACGTTCTAATAACGTATGTCAGATTATTCCTTTTTAAGCTTCACAGAAACAATTATTTTCTTGAGGTTTTCGTCGTTTTAAATCGGTTTGTTTCGCCGGATTATTGCTGAAAATTGGTGTCAATCGACAAATTTGATATCACAATAGGGAAAAAATTTCCATCAAAGGACTCTAAAAAACTTTCAGTTCGAGCTTCTCTCAAATTTTTAAAAGAAAAGAAACGCCTATTTGTATTAAAGCATCTGGCTTCCCTCTTTTTTCCATTGCAATATATTTTTACAGCTTGCGTTTGATTCTAACGCAACATTGATATGAACAGGTGCAAAAGATTAAGCGGTTTGGGCCTTCATTCTCTCGTTCTCTCTACAGCTTCTCAAAAAATTTTCTCCATTAAACCTAAGAACTGGTCTGAGTCAGCTCACAGATTCCTCAAACAGTGTGCCGATGCCGGAAACGTTGAAGCTTGCTACACTCTTGGCATGGTTAGTATTTTTACTGTAATATGGATTTGAAAACCCTTTCATATGTCAAGAACAATATTCTGCTTTGTGACACTCAATAATGAAATTGTTAAGAGGCTAATAAGTTTGGTATGTTGTGTTCACGCAGATTCGCTTCTACTGTTTGCAAAACCGAGGCAGCGGAGCTTCCTTGATGGCCAAGGCTGCGATTAACTCCAATGCGCCGGCGCTCTACTCGCTCGCCGTCATTCAGTTCAACGGAAGCGGTGGCTCCAAGAACGACAAGGACCTCAGAGCCGGTGTGGCTCTCTGTGCGCGTGCCGCTTTTCTCGGCCACATAGACGCACTCCGCGAACTCGGTCACTGCCTCCAAGACGGCTACGGCGTCAGGCAAAACATCGCCGAGGGACGACGATTCTTAGTCCAAGCCAACGCGCGGGAGCTAAGCGCTGTGCTGTCCACGACTCCATCGGCGTTAACATCCGGCTCGAGGCTGACGTGGAATCCATTGCCTCACCATCGCCACATGGCCGGGTCAGGTTGTCCTTTACTGAGTGATTTCGGATGTAATGTTCCGGCACCGGAAGCTCACCCGGCGAGCAAGTTTTTGACGGAGTGGTTTGAGGCACGGGGAGGAGTTCCTGGTCCGGGGCTCCGATTATGCTCGCATTTGGGTTGCGGAAGACCCGAGACCAGAAGGCATGAGTTCCGGAGGTGCTCGGTGTGTGGTGCTGTGAATTACTGCTCGCGTGCGTGTCAAGCACTCGATTGGAAGATGCGCCACAAAGCAGAATGCGCACCAGTGGAACGGTGGGGCGATGAGGACGGAGATGGTGATATGAACGGCGACGGAAATGTGAATGGCGATGGTAATGGAGTGGTTGAGGGGGATGGGGAAGGTAATTTTGATGTTATTGGGGAGAGTTGACGGTGAGGGTGACGTGCACCGTGACGGTAATGGCACGTGAGTCTTTAAAATTGAAAATCAGAGTGAGAAGCAGAGTCTAATACGGAAGGCCCATTTTTGGATGGAAAAAAAAAAATCCAATTTTCCTTTTGTTATGGTCCAATGTTTTATATTTATACAGAAGAGGTAATTAGAAAGTTTCAAGGGGGCCTTTTTGTACAATATTTTTACCTATCTGACTACCTTAAATTTCCTTGAATTAAAATTCAGACCCCAATTTCTCTAAATTTGCAAATTAAGACCCGCTTTCTGTTTGGTTTCTCTTCTATTCTGATACCTTCTTTTTTTTAGATAGGCAACCATATTTTTACACTAGGGGGTAGAATGGAAGAGAATGGATACTCGAACTGTCAACCCTGTAACTGTTATAGAGGGTTCCAACTATCTGGGTATAACTTAGGCCCTATACCTTCTTTAATTTGGTTATTAATATTTTGAAGGTAAATCTTCATCCTACCAACTGATTGAACGTTGGACATTACCATTGGCTTTCTTTGAAGAAAATGAATTTTGGGTTGAAGATTTATTGGCTAGAACCTAAAGCCTATATAAAGAGGTCATAGGAATAGGAATGGGAAAGTAACAAAATTAGGTATAGGGATGGGATAAATAACCAACCACACATTGGTAGCTGAAATCTGCCTTCGCTTTAGGGTAAAGAGAAAGGTCATCCTAATCTTTAATATGAATTAAAGCATGATTCAGAATTCGAAATATAAACAGCACACGGCCTCAGTACACACCTTTGGCCAGTTGTGATGCAATTAAAAGGGAAGGTTAAGGTGGTAGTAGTAGTAGTATATAGGTAAAGAGAAGAATCCTAGGCCATTTATTATCATTATCACCTTCTTCCTCTGTTCTTCTTTTTCCTGTCATGGCTTTTATGTTAGTCAAAAAAGTTCAGGCAGGATAGGAAATAGACCCAGAAAAAGGAAGAGAAAGAAAGAACTGATTGAAAACAAAAGAAAGAAATAGTGCATTTTGCAAGTGGATGCATATATGGTGGGTGTGGGATTGGGAGCATTAGCCTTTATCCCCCGTGGTGAACCATCTATAATAAAATAAAATAAAATAAAAAGAAAGACAAATGTGCGTGTTGAATTTTACACAATATAAACACGAGAACAGATCTCTCCTTGGTGAACTCGAGTGAGTCAGTCGAGTGGTCAACCTTGTTGCTTGGAACAGCCTGTGAGGTCTGGTGGTAACTTGGAACGGTAATGGGAGACCCTCGTGGATCAATAGAACGATCCAGTAAGGCTGAGGAAGGTTCCTGGAACAAAGAAAGACAAGTTAGAAGGGCGCCGGAGTGTTTTCTGGCGTATCCCCTCCAACGATCAAGTCAGTTTTTGAGAGAGAGGAAGAAGGAAACACTGAGTATAATTTGTAGCAAAGGTTTTTTGTTGCATATCGTCTTGCCTTTTGTGAGGAGTATTTATACCTCAAAAATTCATGATTATTGTCAGTGTGGTCAGTAGGTGATCATTAGATACAGGAAACGTGCGCACTGATTCCTACGAGGAATGTCTTCTTTTTTAACTGCTCGGGATCCCGAGCAATCAAGGCTGTGTCATCGGCCTGCCGACTGTTCAATGAGCTCCTCTCGGCAAGGATGTAATAAATGTCCAGCCTTAGAGACATTTATTACATTTCACTTCCGAGCCTTACCGCATTAAATGCTGTCTCATCAAGGGAATGGTGCAATTAATGTTTGCTTCCCCAAGTCGTATGTCAGCAACAGCATCCGGTCTTTCTGTCTCTGATGTGACACAATATGCCACGCGTCCATTCCCCATTGGCTGTGTCCCCTGCCTTCTTGAACCTTCTGACACTAATTGTGTAAGACGAGGTCATGATGGCTAACCTAACCTAGTTTAGGCTAGTGACCTGTACATCAGTAGCCTCTGCGGGAGCAGAGAATGCCATCTTGGACGATACACCTCGGAACCGAGAAAGAGGTACATCTCGGAGCCGAGAGTGGAGGTACATATAGGGACTGATGTACCATATCCCCCCTCCTGACCGAGGAATACGTGTCGGTACGTAACGTACTAGATGTCATTGATCCCTATGACCAGTACCTCGGGGAAGAGGGACTTGTGAACCGATGGGTACGTGTCGTAATCACAGTAACAAGATTTTAGTGATACCGAGGACACGTGTCTTCATCTTGAAGTATTTTGGAAATGTCCCATCAATTGCCCCCCAACCTTCGATCTTCTGACACCGAGGACACGCGTCGTAAGGAGACGAAGGGTTCTACAACAACCTCAACCGCTTCATCATTGCCTCTAGTCGCTTTCCCCTGCTTAGGACGTCGTGCACATTAAATGCGCCTTTTCATGCTTCGCGCCCAATGATGGGATATGTACTATATATAAATGGGTTTCCTCTCTTCTTTTCTCATTTCATCATTCCGAACTTTCTCCAAAGAACCCTTGCCTGAAACTTCGCCGGAGATCCCTTTCCTTCCGTTGTCAACTGCCCAACCATTTCACCGGAGTCTTAAGGCCAACAGACTCATCCTTGCTTCTAAACGTTCTAGAAGGAGTCGCTTCAAGTTTTTCAGAAAAAATTTCTTTTTACATTCTGGTGAGTCCCAGTATCTTCCCTCTCTTTGCCCATCTGTCTCTTTTGGTTTTTCGATAATGTGAGGTATTTTCTAGTTGCCATTCAACGACCAATCCTCGGGAAGCCTCTTTGGGGATCTTCGTGGAAAAGACCCCCTCCATTTTTTATCACTTTTTGGAGATGCCTCGTCGTCGCTCTGCCCCCGAGAATTCTCAGGCCAGTTCTTCGAGGCCAGGGAAGTATAAAGTAAAAGGAGGCGAACAAATTAATATTTTTAGGGTCAAGTACAGCATCCCCCCATACGTAGACATAAAGGATTATGACTCGGCTGTGCATTCCCGTACCTTTGGGGCCGAGGATAAGATGTCTTTTATACCAAAGCCGTCATAGAGGGCGGAATTAGGTTCCCTCTCCCCCCTCTACTCCTCCAGTTCCTCTCCCATTTCCATCTCTTCCCCGGGCAGTGTTGCCTTAATGTCTTCAGAATAATTATGGGAGTCCTAGAGCTCAATAAGCGTCTCGGGGTAAATGTTGGGCTGAACGATATCCTTTTTTGCTACTCCCTCTTGAGAGTCATACCCCAACAAAACTTCTATCTCAAAGTCAGGGACCATCCATGTACCTCGTAACTCATCTTCCCGACTCGGACAAGGGGTACAAGGATGACCTACTCATCTTCAAGGGATCTTGGCAGAGAGGTGCCGGTCCCGAGTACAACGGCTTGTTATGCCCTTTGGAATGGAGAACGATAAGTACATTGGCTTCTTCGGGTCTATTGTTTTGCTCTTGAGATTTTTTAGCAGAGTCCATAACTCACTCCCCTCTCTTTTTGTTTGTGTGTAGATATCTCCCCTCGGGAAACAGCTCCTCCACCTCTGTCCTTGGTGAACTTTGCCGACCTAGTCACTGCTTGGAGATTTACTGGTGACGACGGGTTTGGTCGGGCTGCCCACATTCTCCTGAATTATACTCATGGATATAAAAAGTTTTCACAGCTTCCCCAGCCTTTCGAGCCTTCGCAGTGGTCTGAACTCTTCGATCAGGCGGTGAGGCAAGAGGACGAGGAAAACTTGGAGGAAGACCCTGATCGGGCTTCGGAGGCAAAAGTAGAGGGTAAAGTTGAAAAGCTCGGGGTCAGAGAGGACTTGGTTCCTTCACCCGCCGAGGTGGGGACTTCGGGGAGAGATTCGTGGCCAGACTTCCAAATCCTATAATCTCTAGACGCCGAGGATGCCCTCGAGATAGCTATGTCCAGTACGCCCCGCATTGATCTGGGATTCCTGAGGCAGAGGCAAGCCCTCGCTGCCGGGCGTGGGCGTGGGTCAACAAGCGGCCCCCCACCTACAGGGACTAGCACCACTCCACTTTCAAGGGCTGTTGATTGGGGTCAAGTGCTCGACCGAGATTCTCAGGTCGAGGTGGAGAGGAGGATCAAACAAAGGCACGATGGCCTGGGCAAGGGATCCAAGGCTCCCTCCGCTCAACAGCAAAGCGGGAGAGGCCGTGGGTTACCTCCTCCTCTACAACAGCAACAGCAGCAGCAGAGGCAACAACAGCAACAGCAGCAGGAGCAGACTCCCCCTCTCCTTCCTCAAACGGTGGAAGCGGCGGAGTAGAATCCTCGGGCGATCAATCACATCAACTAAGTGATCAGGGTTGATGACTCCATTTTGCAGGACCCCCATGTTGCCAATGCAGTGAGTGAGACGCTGCATTTCGAGGCCAACATGATGGCTCACAAGGGGCGATCAACGAACGTGTTATTTCGCTCTATCATCCAGAATTCCCTGGTGGTAAGTTCATCTTTGTTTCAGTCTTGTTTAGCCTCTTTTCTTTTTAGTGACATGTTCTTTCCTTTGCAGGCCACCCGACAGATTTTTATAATAGCGACGCGGTATCATAGGGCTAGGATGGACCTTCAGCGGGCTCGAGAGCAGAAGGAAAAAGCCAAGGGAGCCCTCGCCAGTGCTAAGGAGGACATTGCTGCCAGGGATTCCACCCTCGCGGGGCAGGCTGCTCAAATCGAGCAACTCCTCATGGATGCCGAGTTGGCGAAAGTCGGCGCTGAAAAGCTAAGTGCTACCCTTGCCGACGCTAAGAGGAGGATTACAGAGCAGACGCAACGGCTCTTTGCGGCAGAGGAGAGGGCCGTTAGTTCAGAGGAAAGCTATCTGGCTCTCACCTAGGAGCTAGACAGGATCAAGGTTGAGCTAGAGAGCAGGAAGTCCGAGGAGCAACTCTGAGAAGAGTTCGCTGACGACGCCCCCGCTCTTGAGGAAAATAGCAAGGAGTTCTTCAAGAAGAGGTAGGACAAGGCGCTCCAGTCTGCTGGGATCCCTCCAGAATCCCCGCTCTTCCAGATGCACAGATACATGCCCTCGGTGGAGATGGAACAGGCCGAAGCCGAGATTGCTGCCGAGGGCGCGATTCCAACGTCGGTGCAAGTTTCGGCAGATCCGCCCAAGGCGATAATTGTGGACTTATCTGATGAGGCCCTACCGGACCAGGCCCCTGACCATAATATTTCTCAAGCTATCTCTGTTGTCGAAGTACCTCCCACTCTGCCTGCTCCCGAAGATGCTCAACCTTTTTACGCTGATTCGCCCTCGGGCAATGTTTTGGAG